TTGTTATGACAACAAACTCAACAACTTATCAAGGAAAACAAAACTTCGCCGTCGCGCCAATACAATGCTGTTTGACTTGACAGTGACACTTGAATTGATGAATGACAGTTCACCTTCTTTTTGCCCGTCGTAGTGTTATCAACAATTAATCTAAATCTCCCTGACTATAACTGATTTGTCAACATACGAAAGATTGATAATAAGAAAATAAATGTTTTATTTTAATATAATTAATTAAAAATAAAAGTATAAATCACGTGGGAATATCTCACATTTAAAATATTTTTTAAAACTCAGCGTCTGCCTATTTGCCGTACCCGATTACCGGGAAGTTCATAAAGTTGACAACACTGCTTTCACTTAAAGATAGCCATTTTGAAAATAATGCAAATAAAATCGAAATAATAACTATTTAGACCCAAAATATTAACCCCACATTTAATTTCGCTCAAAATAACTAAGAAAAGTTTAAAAAAGATTTCATAATTTATGAGTATATTTTTGTGGCTATACAGTTCTCTTCTATAGCGATACTGATTTTGGGCAATCTCCTTTGTACTTTAATACTTAGTTTAATATTCAAAATTAAAAAGCGGCAAGTTATATTTTATGAACAGTAACTTGGCCGCTTTTTCGCCTTTAAGCCTATTTCTATGTTCGTCATAAATTAAACCAGCTCCGCTGAATAATTGTTCGCTGGCTACACTGCTGGGAGGAGCTGATAGATATTGGCGTACAATTGGTAAAATGAGGGGGTATTTATGCGCATTACCACTCCACCAATTAAGGGGATCCTCATGAAGAGGCAGCCTTTTTTCTTTTTTGTATTCCCTAAGGTGTGATTGTATTTTTGAATGTAAATTGTCACCATCGTCATCGGCTGTAGAGTCCTCCTGGTCTTCATTAACACATAACATCAATTCCAGTAATTGCAAAGAAGCTGAAGATTTCGAAGTAGAAGGCTGCACTTCAATGTCTTCAATTGCAATTTGAGTTCGGCTTCTTTTGGGGTAAGGTACACAGTCATCATCTTGGTTGGAATTTGATTGTCTGGTTCTAATAGTGTTCATGTTAATGTTAATCGTCATATTCAGTAATTTGGATTCAACCTGCTCTGCAATGACGCTGGTGAAAAAATGCGATTTGTATCGCGGATCCAAATACGTCGCAATAGTGTACTTGTCGTCTTCGACCAGGTTTCCAAATCTTACACTTGAATTAATTTCATCGCGTAATTTTGTTATAAAATTTATGAAATGTTCTGATGTATTAGGTTTCGACTCTTCTTGTTGTAACGTGGTCTTAAGAACTTGAATTAAAGGTATGACTGACGAAATACTGATTTGAGAACTACTTAGATTTCTTGTTATTTCTTCAAATGGCTGCATTAATTGCACAAATTTTTGAATATTCATCCAGTCTTCGGGGGATATCATCGCGATTTTTTTTTTTTTTTAAGGGGGGAAAATCATCGAATGACTGCTCCCGCCTGGGTGAGGCGGAAGGGAGTGTCAGACTCTTACTGACTAAAAACCACCCCGTTCCTTCTCCTGCACGTCGAGCCGGAGCCCCGGTTACCCGTTAGGTTCTCCGCGACTCCGAATCGACATCGGCCCTATTGGGCCCCATCTGTGGTGGTCTGATGGCTCTTTGAGGCGCGCGCGGAACGCGACGCGCCGTACGCTCGGGTCTGTTTCTGGTCGGACGGGGAGCCACCCATGCTCGCCGTCCGCAGGCCCGCGCTTACGGTGGCCGGAGATCGTCCCGCGATCCCCGACGCCCGGTGTGTCCTTCGCGATGGCTGGGTCGCGAGGAGGCAGCGCTTCGCTGCCTCACGCGTCCCGCCTCCTCCTTAGCAAGCATGACTGCTTCGCAAAAGGAGGAGACGGCATCCCAGTCCCCCTCGCTCCGCGTATATCATCGCGATTGGATTTGCGCTTAAGTACAAGACAAGCGAATCTTTCAGTTTTGAAAACCTTTCCATCATGTAAAATGTGCTGTTCCATCTGAAATTAAATCAAATCAAATCAATTTTATTTGCTAGAAATATGGTCAGTAAATAGATGGTCACAGAAGGTCACAGAAAATAAAATGTTACACATTTCACCTAGTGATGGCTTGCAAAAATTTATACAAAATTATAAGAAAAATATTATAATTAATAATTTATAAAAAATATGTACAAAATTATTAGTTTCTTTTCAAAATAGAAATACAGATTCAATTACCGACCTAATCTTAAAAATAAATTTATTTATAGGTACAGAAAACAGCAAGTCAAGCTTTACCAGTATAAGCTGAGCTTGGCCATGTAGTTTTTGTAAAGGGGCGCTGCGTGTGCGAGACCCGCTTACGGTGGGAATGTAAAGCTTGACATGCTATCTTCTGTACAGTAAAAAAACTTATATTTACCTTGTCGGACAATCCTGAATGACAGAAAGAGGAGACTGATTAAGGCGTTCCTTTTGAATTTTTGTGAGCTCTGCCTGTGCGACCAAGGAATGATTGAAATGGGTGGCAATTTTTTTCAATTTAGCAGTAAGTTGTAGGAGCCACTCTTGAGATGAATATGAATGCGGCTTTAGTTAGTAGGTAAATAGAAAATATTATCGAATTAAATTATTACTTTCAAGCCGATCCATTACAGATTCATTCATGGCAGGAGCCGTAGAAGCAGCAGGTAAGTCCTTATTATCTAAAAGAAAGTACATAAGCATAATCACCTGAAGCTAATGGCAAGATAATGTTAGTTAGTAGGCAAATACAAAATATTATTAAATTAAATTATTACTTTCAAGCCGATCCATTACAGATTCATTCATGGCAGGAGCCGTAGAAGCAGCAGGTAAGTCCTTATTATCTAAAAGAAAGTACATAAGCATAATCACCTGAAGCTAATGGCAAGATAATGTTAGTTAGTAGGCAAATACAAAATATTATTAAATTAAATTATTACTTTCAAGCCGATCCATTACAGATTCATTCATGGCAGGAGCCGTAGAAGCAGCAGGTAAGTCCTTATTATCTAAAAGAAAGTACATAAGCATAATCACCTGAAGCTAATGGCAAGATAATGTTAGTTAGTAGGCAAATACAAAATATTATTAAATTAAATTATTACTTTCAAGGCGATCCATTACAAGTGCATTCATTGGAGGAGCCAAAGAAACAGTAGGAAAGTCGTTATTATCTGAAAGTAGGTAATAGTGCTTAAGCATTCAATTGAACTTAATGTTAGATAAATATTATAGGTTATGAAAATAACTTCTGCAAGAACTATTCCATCCTATTAGAATAATTATTATTATTCTTCAAAGCACTAACTATAATTCGATCAATCCGCTTCATTATTCCGGCCTTTTCACAACACTTATCAGTCACTAAAAAAGTTTATTCGGAGAAAGTTTTTACGCGCGATACGTGACGTGGCGGAAAAGAATGACAGCAACTCAGTATTTTAAGTAGGTACAAAAAATATAGTTTTGTGTTGCCAAATGAAAATATATAAAAAAATAATACATTTTACAGCTGTGTGTACACTGTCAAACAGCAAATAATCAATCAAAAAATAAACTTAATTCATATAAATTTAATTTAACTGTCACGACTCAATAGTTGAGGCCATTTCAGCTATATACAAAATGTTCTTATTTCTTGGTAAATCAATTTATCAGAAATTATCCACACAGTATAATTCGTTTTAGTTGAATAAACAATATATTAGTTTCCATGAAGGTAATTTAACTGAAATGACTTACATAGTTTGAGGCTTTTTAGCTGAATACAAAATCGGCTTATATCTTCGAAAAACAATTTATCAGAAACGATCCACACAATTTGAGTCATTTTAGTTGAATAAAAAAATGTACGGGTTTCTTTTAACGTATTTTAATTGAAACGATTCAAGTGTTTTGAGACAATTCTGTTATATTCAATATAGACCTGCTTCTTTCCAGTTGGATTTATTAAAAACGACCCAAGGAATTTGGGTTATTACAGTGGTTTGTAAAAAATGGGTTGGTTCGCGTCATTAAAAAATCATCCTTATAATAGTAGTATCACGGATCTTTTTTGCTGAGTGAAAGAACCAACCTTCAGGACCTCTTTGGCATACATAACTCATTTTTGACCATAGTGTGGGTTGAGTCCTTTCAGCTAAACTACGTCCAATTGTAGCAATGTCAGTTCCTAAAGCTACAATTTTGTCAGCGATTCGTTTACATGTCCCTCCGATACCGTCTGGAGCTCCTTTGCCATGACCGGCTTCATGATAGTTCCAGGTAAAATCACAGATATTCGGATAGGTTTCAGTTAATTTACAAAGTAAGTAAAAAAACATATCTTTGTTACGGTACTGAGTAACAGGGCCATCGCTTAAAAAATGAACGTTTTCTACTGAAGACGAAAAGAGGTTCCATGACAGGTTTTAGATGAGCCCATATTACAGGTACATTATGGTTTAGGTTTTCTGACATTGTGGCAAAACATTTTGTTTCTTCTTTGGTATACAAGACTACAGTATGCAAACTTATTTGCGTACGTGACCCACCAATAGAGATGTTATATTAGGGTCATTTTTAGGTAATCATATTATTGAATATATTAGTTAACACATATTATGATACCATTCCTATTACTGGGTATTAGTCAAATATTAGTGAACAGATTTATTATTAGCTTATTAAATCTAATATTGATGCTGCTTTTATTCTCTGAATATGAAATATGCCTATTACCAATGATACCTATTGTAACTTATAATGTCGTTGCAAACAGCGTACAACGTACAGAAGTAAAACTGTGATTAAATTTTCCTTCTTACTTTAACAGGCTTAGGACTGTCAACAGTAATTATATTGGCGTATTTAAAAAGTTAATCACATATGTACAATAATCAATCTTTTTTTTTCCTGTATTTTTTTTAAAACTTTACTTTTTTTTTATGTTTACTATCAACAATTTTTATTCGTTTAGATACATACACACATACATAATATATATTACATATTTACATTTAAAAACATCAATTGTTTCACCTTTTCCGATTTTAGCCTTGTTCGGCGCTCTGTTATAATATTTCCGGAAATGGAAAATATGCGCTCGCAAGACACCGAAGTACTCATTGCGCAGCATTTATTCCTATATAATTGTGCCAAGTTTGGGTACACAAATTGGTGGTTCCTCCACCAATCGGAAGGATCGAGTAATTTGCCGTGTTCATTTTTTATCGGCAACAACCTATCTGCAAGATATCGTTGCACTTCTGTAATTGCAGATGCTTGCGGAGAAAATTGCGTTTGCTCGACATCTCCAAACATTTCATTGATGTTATCCCAGATTGATAAGCCGTCTTTAATAGGTTCGCTAGGTGTGCTTGTACTTGTGGAAGGTTGAAGTGACGCTGACCTGGTGTCATGAGATTTCTTGTTTATTTCTGCAGTGACGAGTTCTATCAGGGTTTTTTTGGCTTTCTCAGCAGCAGACTTGTCTATGAAACAGTGCATTTTGTATCTGGGATCCAACAATGAGCATATTGAAAAAGTGCCACTGTATTCAATTTGCCCCAATCTTCTTTTCAGTTGTCCCACAATGATCTCAACGGATATGGCTACATCGGGGTCGATTGTAGTTGGAATTTTATTTTCATACACTGTTAAAAGGACTCTAGTATATACAATAATGAGACTCCCGGTAACATATTCCTCACCACTCATTTGTTGAGTGACTTCTTGTAAGGGTTTTAGAATGGTACATAAGTCCTTGCATATTTTCCATTCTTCAATAGATAACGTTAGTATGTATCTGTCCAACAAGCCCGCTGTACTTCGCAGTGCTTCCTGCAATTCCAAGAAACGTTCTAACATAAAGAACACAGAGTTCCAACGAGTAGGAACTGCTTGAAGAAGCCTCTTGGGTTGCGCGACGCCAGTTTGAATTTGGTATCTGAGTAGCTTTTCCATTGCTATATTGCTACGTTTGTTATACGCAACAGCAGCTTTGACTTTTTCAATAGTCGCATTTTACCGTGTCAACCTCCAAGGCTTTCTCCACCACAAGATTTAATGTGTGGGCGAAACAACCAAAATGTTTTAAGCCCAAATGCTGTTTTACAGCATTTTGCATATTTTGTGCATTGTCGGTGGTTATGATGAGAATTTGTTTTTTATCAATTCCAAGATCATCGATTGTGCGAGAGATTTCCTCTGCGATATTTGCGGCTGTATGAGAGCCAGGCAACGGTGCACATTCCAGTAATACCTTTTTGAACTTAAAATCTATGTCAATATAGTGCGCCATTATGGCAATGTAGCTCTCTTGAGACGCCGATGTCCACAAATCAGTAGTTAAACTAAGTGAAGTGATGTTTTTTATTTCATTTGTACGAACTCTGTTTACACGTTTTTCGTATAGTGCCGGCAAAAGCGTATTAGAAATATGTTGCCTAGTCGGGAGCTGGTAAACAACATTTAAAGCATTTGAATAGGCCCTAAAACCTGTATCCTCGACAATGGAGAACGGTTGAAAATCTTTAATAAAAAGAAGCATCAACTGTTCGTCAATTTTTTCTCGTTGAGATGCAGTTAATTTTTTAACTGGTAAATTAATTTTACTCTGCACCAGTTGTCTTGAATACGCCTGATGATTCTCAACTATGTTGGATGTGCTAGCAACCGATGAGGATGACCCAGTCACAGGTTGTACATTTTCTGAATTACATACCTGTGTATTGGTGGAGTCGGTTTTATTTTCTGGGTTTTGCCGCATTTGTTTGCTTGACGATGACGATAATACTGCAACATGCTTGCTTTTCATGTGTTTATTCAAGTTCGAAATCGTTGTTTTAAATGAGCACTTTTGCTGACATATTTTGCAAATGGCAATTTTATTTTCTTCTGAATCTACAGTAAAATGTGTCCAAACTTCACTGGTTCGTGCCCGCTTCATAATCGAAACTAAATTCCTCAATAACCACAAAAAAACCACCACCAAACCAAAACCTCCACCAAAAATAAATACAAAATAGCTACTAACTTAATACGTAAATACCTACTATCGATAACTGCGTGCACGTGCTATCTGAATGCAATATGTATTCGCTGTGAGCTTCGGTCACCGCTAATATTCGTATTAGATTAGCGAATGCTATGAATCAAGTGACCAAATTTGAAAAACGGTTTTCATTGCTTACTTTCTTTGTTCCCATGTTGGAATTTATTATAGGAATTTATTATTTTTTATTATTTCCTTTTGTCTTTGATTTAAGTGGATCGCTCAAAGATATCTTCCTGTATTGACTTAAATATATTTGAACATTTTTGTTAATAAAGTTTTAATTGAAGTGACTTTTATATTGCTTGTGGTATTTTTAAGACGTATGTCTACAACATCTAGTTTCTCCTTTGTGTTAATAATTTCTCTTTTTGTATATTTTTTTTCTATTTGAGACACTGTCGAAAATTAAAGGCATATTTTCAATATCGAATTTGTCGACATCATTAAGTAGTCATTATATTTTCATTGCACATTATAATAACTAAACTAAAAAAAATACAATATTTGCGTCACTGTGTACTGGTGGACGTATACAGTGAATCAGTAGTGTAGTACTGTACTAGATTCACTATCTAATAGTATACAGTGGCTTAATGAAAATAAAAAAGACATATTTAATGAAAACTCTTTATTACTTTTCATAAAATGACAAATATAAATGCAAGCATTTTAATATATGCCTTAATATAATCAGTCTTAGAGCTTTATATTTTAATTCTACTTTGGTTCACACTTTATCTTCTTACTCTATTATTTTTAATCATGGGATCACATTACAGGTAGGTAATAGACTTATTTTCTAAAAAAACTGAATGTTATAAAACAAACAAAAATAACCAAATGAGATCAACTTTCACAAAAAAAAAAACAGTCTTTAGATATTTATGCATAACAAGACGTCTATCTAATCATCGTTAACTAATTCACAGTAATAAAACTAAAATCGATTGAAAAATAATAAAATGGTCTCGAAGCTGTTCCAATCATTAAAGGTTTAGGTAGAATAAATTTTAAATCATCCTCTTTTACAATAGACAGATCAGGCTTATTTGGCATAATAAACTTTTCTGTACCAGGCTTTCGCCTCAAAAATGATATGTAAAATTCCATGTTCTCATTTCGTTCCTCTAACACTTTGCCGATATATAAGGATCTCTGTTTTTTGGTAGCTAATTGGACAATTACATATTCGCCTTCCCGAGGTTTATTAGGTAAAGGTTTCTTTAAATCATCATCCGTTAAAATAATGTTTCTGTTATCAGTGTCAGCGTCATTTTCATAGCCATGATCTGTAGGCCATTCTATGTCGTCATCCGAATCTTGTAAAAATAACTCTTCATTTTCCATTTCTTCATCACTGCTTAATATTGTTCGAGTAATTTTACTTTTCTTTGCCTCATTTTTTCTTTTTTTACTGTCTTTTCTTGTTCCAACAACAATTTTTCAGGTGTATCGGTAGAAATTAAGCTGCGTCTTGGATTCCTACGTTTTCTTTATTTTGTCTAGGTTTGGCTTTATAGGATCTCAGGAAAAGATACTTGTGGTGACGAAATCGGTGGTATGTTGACGAATGAACCTGATGGTATTGTTAGTGTGTGTTATTTGTGGTGTGTGAGTCAGGATATCGAACACAAGTGAAACGCTCGGTTTATAGACATCGAATGAATTTAATTAGAGTACTGTAACTGTGGACACTTAACGCTACGCACACATACATAAAGTGCACGCGTCAGCGCACACACTTATGCACATACCCCACAATATTCCCCCCCTTTTTTAAATTTAAACTTAAATTTTACATATTGAAACTTATACTAAACAAAACCCATTATAAACTAACTTACACCAAACCTAAGCTTAACTTATGTTATATAATTATAGACGTACATATAACATATGAAAACTTCTTTAATTAGGTATATTATTACATTTCAAGAGATACAAGAACAATCAATGTTGATTTCACAACTTTATAATATTACGACTACTATTACATTTAGAAACCTAATATGATGTTTGCATCTTTAATGGAATTGATTCGTTCACATACAATATTATACAAATATGTTCTTTAATTTTGTACATACATAGGTATAACATACTTTTGATTCACGATTCACTTTCACTGGCCTTTTACAAACACATTGATGGACACTTTATCTTTACACTATGTTGTGACGTGGTTGCGCCTGTTGTGGCGCCATTTGCATGGATGTAGTACTATGCCATACCGTCATTTCTTTTTGCAATGCTTTTCGGGCACTTTGCTTACACTTTTTGCAAAACATATATACAACATAGATTCCTATTAGTATTACAATGATCATGGCTATAGTGCCATACTTTTCTAATGTTTGCTCAAAATGCGATGTGGTCGCACCATTCGCCCCGTTTTGGGCAATTATTACTTCCTCAGATTTCTTTTCGATGCTGTACGTTTTTCCCATTTTGATATAATTTTGCTCTAGTAGGTATGCACGTGATAAACTAAGTAGATTGGATTAAATTAACTTAATGTAAATATATTACTAGATTGGATTAATATCGTTATCGATGTTGCGAGGTAATGATGCCTGGTGTCTGTATCAGCGCATTATATGCATTTAATATCTACTGACATTATTAATTAGGTACATGTGCCGTACACTTTTCGTTGGCGCATCATTCCGCAGCTTTAACCTTGTACTTGTTTATTTTAACAATGCTATACGTGAGTTACTGCTTACATGCTGCGTACTGGGTTTTATATGTATACTAACTGTGTGATTGGGGTTTGCTTGTTAATTCTATTTTTTTAGACGTATGTACATAAAATCTTGACAGTGCGGCTTAATCACATATTGGCTAAACTTATTTCAAATATCAAAGCAAAATAAGACCTTATAACCAATAAAAAATTATTACCTCCTATTATCTAGTTGCTACATTATCATTATGATCTAAAACAAAATTAAATAGGCACTAGTCATTTACTTAATACTTTTCATGAATCCAAAAATCTTACTGGAGTCTTTACTATTCTCCCCGATTTTGTGGTTTGAACATTTTTCACATTATTTTGTGCAGAGTTATCATTTTCTAAAAGATATGCCGGCTTCAATCTGTCTATTGATACATTAATGATTCTATCTTCGGCTTGGATTTTGTATACTTTTTCTGATTTGTCTATTATTTTGTATGGTCCTTCATAGGGACATACTAAAGATCTTTTATTTCCGTCAGTTCTTAGGAATACATGCGAACAATGATTTAGGTCCGGATGTACAAAGAATTTTGACGAGTTGTGACATTTTACATTAATGGACTTATACTGTCTGATATTATCTCTGATGTTCTGTATAACTGAATGTGGCTCTACATTGTCCGGGCTGTCTGCAAAAAATTCACCTGGCAATCGCAATGACCGACCGTAAACCATTTGTGCGGCACTTATACCTGTCTCGTTTCTTATGGCTGCCCGAAGTCCTAGCATCACGCTAGGTAGTTCACCCTTCCAATTTTTGTTACCATTTAATCTTGCCATTAAAGATGCTTTTAGACTCCTATGCCATCGCTCGATGGCTCCGTTACTCTGTGGATGATACGGGGTTGTTCTGATCTTTTGTATACCTAAATAAGCCATTAAACTACCGAATAACTTACTCTCGAATTGCCTGCCCTGGTCACTTGTCAGTTTGACAGGGCAACCAAATCTACATATCCACTCGTTATAGATGGTATTTGCTACAGTATCTGCCATCATGTCTTTCACTGGGTAAGCTTCCGGCCACCCTGTACTTCTATCTATAATAGTTAAGCAGTATCTGAACTCATCAGCTGTTATGGGAAGGGGACCGATTAAGTCGACATGTATGTGCTCGAACCTGTCAACATGCTGATACGAGCCGTAGCTAGAGATTGTATGCCTATTTATTTTTGATTTTTGACAACTAATGCATGTTTTTGCCCATGTGCTTATATCCCGATTCATATTTGGCCACCAAAACTTTTCTTTAACCATATTACGCGATGCTCGCAGTCCCGGATGGCTAAGATCGTGAATAGCACGAAATGCAGTTTTCCTAAAAGATTCTGTTAAGTACGGCCTTGCGCTACCATTCGATATTTCGCAGTAAACAGGTTGCTTGGTGTTGGGAATATAAATTTTTTTGAAGCTAAATTTAGGATTCTTTAAAATGTCTTTAAGTTCAAAGTCGTTATTTTGCTGTGAGGCTAATTTTTCATAATCTATTATGTTCGATGTACATTCTATTGTTTGTATTCTCGATAGTGCGTCTGCAACTATATTGTTTTGACCACACACGTGTCTCACATCCGTTGTAAATTCGCTGATGAAACTAAGCTGCCTAATGCGTCTAGGGCTTTCTTTCTTGTTATTTTTGCACAATTTCGTAAAAGCAAATGTTAGGGGTTTGTGATCCGTAAAAATAATTAAGTCTCGGCCTTCAAATAAACTTCTAAAATGTTCTACACCTAAAAATATAGCAAGTAATTCTCGGTCGTACGTGCTGTAATTTTTCTGTGTATCTGTTAGTTTTTTTGAGAAATATCCTAATGGATTCCATTTACCACCTATATACTGTTGTAATACTGCGCCAATACAATTATTTGATGCGTCTGCAAAGAGTGCAAGTGGTGCGTCGTTCACTGGAAACGATAGCGTCACCGCATTCTTGAGTCCATTCTTACATTCTAAGAATGCCCTATCAGCATCCGGTGTCCAATGTATTATAGTTTTGTCATTTTTTTTGGTCATATGTATGTACTTGTTTAATGTGTCTAAATATTCCACTGCTTTAGGTAGATGACTTCTGTAAAAATTTACCATACCTAAAAATTTTCTTAATTCACTGACATTGCTTGGTTTGGGATACTCGCTAATTGCCTCTACT